AAAAAAAACTTATTGCAGAGTGTGGCTGCTATTTGTGTTGCTATGAAAGTGCATGCAGGAGAATGTTCTTATTCCGATAAAGTCACACGTTTCTGGCCTGAATTTGGAAAAAATGGCAAGGAAGATATAACTATTGATATGATTCTCAACCATCGGGTAGCTCGCTGAATATAATGTAGAAAAGCATTCAATCTTTGCTTCATAGGCTGGTATACCCTATCTTGAAGAAGATCTCACCCTCGACGAAGCTGCAGACAAAACAAAAATTTCCAAGGTCTTGGAAGAAGAGTCTCCAAAGCATCCTCCAGATTCGCAGATTGCTTATCATCCAATAACATTTGGATGGTTGATAGACCAGGTAATAGAGTAATGGCGAAAAATTCTGCCGAAAACTCTTGAGCAAAACTTCAGGTATTCTGTCGAATAGATGCTAAGCATCGAAGTATAGGAGAATATTTCCGGGATGAAATTAGACAGAAGTATGGTGCGTTTGAAGTTTGTGTAACACTTTCTTCTTCTTTGCACGGCTTAATTCAACCTCATCCTTTCTGAAACTATTCTACCAAATACCCGCAGTAACAGAGTAATATGGTTTTATACGAATGTAAAAATTCCCTCAAGCAGTATGAATATACTAAATTAAACGGCAGAGCTGGAAACACGGCACAACAATTGATTCTTCTCCTATTAATGTGGCAGTCACAAATTATGACAGATACAACTGCGAATGGCGTGCAACCGGCAAACGGTTCTATCACTTTTTATTTCTCAATTTTTTGAGAAAATTTTTTGCTTTTTGATGCTGGCTTTCAAACCCCCCAACTGCTAAGCGCTGAAATTGTCGCCTGTTTCTATCTTTTGCCGCAAAAAAGCAATCAGCTCGCTTTCACAATTATGAATAACCTTGCCTTTCTTGTTGAATCAATTTGCAGCTCACAAGTCGGTGTCAAACTTTTTTGCAAGTGGTTAATTGTGCACAGCAAAGAACCAGAAATGTAACGAGCAGGGCTCGGCACGTGCCGCAGGAAGTGGACCTGGCAATGTTTTGAAAACGGATTCCCTGACATGACTTCGCCACTTAATTCCGACATCCACTACGACAAGCATGAATGAATCAAGCATGGCTTCAAAAAAAAGTTTGCCACGTTTTAGTTCATACAACTTTTTCAAAGTGATTCCAGCTTCCTCTTGCTCATCCCCCCACCCACTTTGGTATCATATCGTTTCCTTTTCGTTACGAACAAGACTTTTATTTATCTCAAAGTGGATTTTATTCCCGCGCTTCTACGGGAGTCTACCGAAACGATAAATTGTTGATTTTGTAGATCGGATTTGGTAAAGCAGTGCTGAGCACCTGCGTCTTCAGATGAAGAGGTTGACTAAAAGTTAGCGGAGGGGTGCGATTGGAGGGGTAGATGAATCATGTGACATTAGCGTCAGGAAAAATTTTTTGCGGGGAGGGCTCCAAAAATTTGTGGGTCGATAGGCATGACTCAGCCAGCCCTGAAGCTTTTACTCTGTCAATTTGTGTACAAATTGAGCTTCAGGTAGAACTGCGTATCAGAAGGGTACATAAAAACATTTTTACGCACCCGAGACTCCGATTTTGCACGAAAAAATGGCGATATTTTCATATACATCATACCAAGCTGAAACATGCAGTTTTTGCTGCTCTTTCCGAACAGTACAAAACAACGATATCCCCTTTGCTTTCTACCGCCAAAACATATGCAGAATGCTCCGTAAGCCATCTGTGCCGAGCCCAGGTTATCGGAATATAATGGAAGTTTTTTCAGATGTAGACATCTATATCGGATCATGCACTGACCAAGAAGATCGGATTGCTAAAGTTTCTCCACTGAGAAGAACTTCTGCATTTCGGTGTGTTTCAGCATAAACCGGTTTTGTGACGCGTAACCACATTTTGATCAGGGAGTACGTTGATGACAGGAAGATATTCTCAATGGGTAATCTTCTTCACGGCAAGGACGCAGCAGCATTACAGCGAATGAGGTTGCAGCCGCTTTCTGCGGTAAGCATTGGTGGAGTAAAAAACCTTATTCTTTTGTTCAAAATAACGAAAAATCGGAAAATTAAACGACGAGTAGTCATTATTGCAACAACCATTTTCTCATTTTCAAGAAAGAGTTTCAAAAAACTTACCAATTCTCTTACAAGGGAGGTGTTGAAAGTTGAGGAGGCATTTTGACATGGGACGAGTACCATCTGAAGCAGCTTGAAACGCTGATTCCAAAACAGTTCTTCTCAGCTGCAGAAAGAATCTGGATCGAGGGTTATTGACATTGATTTGCCGGAAATTTACAACGCTGAGAGTAGAAAACTATTAAAGCACGTGTATTTTGAGTTTGAACACATATTAAACAGTTTGCCATGCTTAATGTTATTATACTCCTTCCTCAATGTTATGCTGTAATGCTTACACAAGCTTCGAACGGTTTTTACGATTATAGGATACCCTAGACAGTTTGAATTTTACTTATTTGAATGCCCTTAACTTCCGACACAAACTCGTTTTGCGGCAAAAAGGCTATTCTGGAATCAGCTTTTTAAGCCCCTTCAGATGATGTTTGTTCCATGTTGAAAGACCATTGTGGCTTTTGACACTTCCCTTGTTAGTCGGCTTTTTTTAGAATATCGAGCTGTTCAACACACCAGCGATGCGTGCTTTTGAACAACCTGCTGTAAATGGAGTTGCTACAGCACGCGGTCTTGCTCTTTTGCATCAAAAATTCATGGATGGAACTTTATGTTCGCAACAGTTTTTCAAGGCAAGCATCATAACAATTGATACTGACGAAAATCTATGCATTTATAGAACTTAGCTCAACCACAATATGAGGAAACTTTCGACCATACGCTTGGCATTGAAGAAAGCAAAGGGCATGGTTTTGTATATAAAAGAAGTCCAAATGTATGCTGAGATTTCATTTGTTCCGCGCTAAAATAATCCGGTATATAGGGTTCCTGGCTAATCGGACATCCAGCTATGGGCGGACAAATGATTTGGATGGATCCCTTTAAAAATATTGTCGTCTGTTATCTGACTAATGGACTGAAATTTGGTCGTAGGAGACAAACACGCGTGTCCGACAAGCTCTTGACAAGAATCTATGAAATTCTGTCAAAGCATACTACTTCTTCTTCTATATCCTCGCCATTGTACCGCGAGGGCACTCTGTCGAAGCAAACAAACCATTGAATCCGTTTAATCTAAAATAAGACAACGAAACTCTTTCCAATGAAACTTGGCCATTGTATGCATGAGAACTAATAAAATGGTGCCATGTTAAGAATTTTTCGCATCATTACAAACCGCATCAAAAGCGAAAAGAAAATAATTAAGGCGAAGTATACTAAACTATGCGAGCACATCCACAAAGCACATAACAAAGTACAAGGCCCGTAGTAAACCCCCTCTCAGCCCAACTCGGCTGG